AGTGATGAAATTGATTCAAATTGTTTGAAAGTTTTATTTTGGATTTCTGTTGTTGTTAAAGTTTAATAAATTGTTGTTGTTATTTCAATCCTGGTTGTAGCAGCATTGTTTTAGTCCGTTACAACTCTGCCAGCTAACCCAAATAACTATAATTCAGTCCTTTATTAAACATATCTCCATAAAGTAATGGAAGAGCAACAGAGGGTGATAAATTATTCAAGTTACTTAACAGCAGGTAGTAAAGAAAAACATCTAACATACTGTTATAACCATAACAAAACAAATAAAATAATGCAATTATATGAAAACTGAATTACTTACAGGGAAAATTTATAACTACACATTTCCTCGAACATTTTAACAGAACAGCGGGTTACTAATGTTTGTGAAATCGTGATTAAACAAGAGGAAACCTTGAACAGCCGCAGCAGCTGTAATTAGATCTCAAACCGGCCAAGAGATGGGGCTATGAGCTAAAAGTTTGTACTTGAAAAACAAAAACAAAACACTCTGAGACATTCTCTGAGCTGCTATGCTGAAGCTAAAAAAATTAAAACCAATTCTTTTTGTGCAATTTCAGATACTTTCTCGCGTAAAATCTGTACCGTCAGGCCCATTTTAAGCATCCCAATACTTTTATGAGGTATAGGACCAATATATTTATCTGTCATCCCAAAATGATGTAGAAAAACAGAGTGGTCCTCATTTTTTAAAGGGGTGATAAAAAAGTTACCCTGAACACTGTAGGCTAATTTGTCTTAGTCCTGTAGTGGGAAAAGTCCTAGAGTTTGATAAAAGAAGCCTTGTAAAATTACTCAGTGAAATATATCATAAAAAGTAAACCTAGATTTATTAAGAGGAAATATTACCTCACTAATCTTTTAACTTTATTTTCGAAGTTGTTACTTGTTACCTAAACGAGGAAAAATGTGTAGATTGGGTGTATTTAGATTTGAAAAACGTTTTTAATAAGGTACCATGCAGAATATTAGCTGAGAAAACCACATCAATGGGGTTGAGCAAAGACTAGTTACTGGATTGTAAAGTAGATGGATAAGAGAAGGCAAAAGGTTGTTATCAATGGAGTTTAACCATACTGAACTCTTGTTACTAGTGGAATGCCTCAGGGGTCAGTGCTTGGGCCTTTGTTTTTTTTCCTGTTTACCTTAGTAATATTGATAAGATCTTAATTAGTCGCATGTTTAATATAGAAGGGAACGCGCTCAATAGCGTGACTGAAGAAAATGATGTTGGCATAAGTTATTCGAGCTATGGAGGCAGTGCTCTGGTTGCTAGCAATAAAGCAAACAAGGTCGTGAGAACTAGGGTGCGGATGAAGCCCCTGGCTTGATGTACAAGGTTGCTGCGCATGCGTGTTTCTCATCATATACAGGGGTTTCAATTTTGTTAAACGATTTTCAGCACCCAATTACAAAAATTGATCTAGCGTCAATGAATGCTAATAGAATTTAAGGGTGTATCATTCGACGTATCAATTACACGTCACATACAAATCACAAGTTAGGCCTAACTTAGAACACTGTATACAGTTTTGGTATCCTTACTTAAGAAAGGATATTGACTTTTTGGAAAGGGTTCAGAAAAGGGTTACTAGGATGATTCCGGGGTTGGGATAGTTACCTTATAGAAATATTTAAGTTGTGTTCTTATGAAAAAGAAGGGTAAGTGGCAGTGGACATACTTAGTTGTGGGCCTTTGTGCGGGATACATTTTGAGCCCCTTCCCAACACAAATGTAATATGGCCACCACAAATAAGTGGTGATTTTTATTGAAGTTTACATGATTATCCAGGGCATCGATAAGATAGAAGTCTTTGATTTGTATTCTAAACGAAATAGGACGAGAACACAAGTTTAAAATTTTGAAAAAGACAGGCTAGGCCCTAATTAAGACAATTTTTTTTTTAACAGTGAGATTGGTTTATGGAAAAAATTACTTGGATTCTGGTATTTTACAATATTTTTTAAAAAAGAGGAATAGATGATTTTCTGTGTCTTCCTTGGACAACTTTGAAGACCACAAGCTCCTATCTTCACCGTATTTTATGTTTTTATATGTAGAGCTTATTTTAATAAAACACGAACAGTGGTTTTGTAACAACATCACCATTTATTAGATAAACATAAGATAGAGATATAACTTCAAGTTTTATCAGCATTGAAGCCGGATACTTAATATCTAATCTTAAATGTCAAGATAATTGTCAGGCAGCGTAAATTTACAATGTTTCCAAAATTCTGTTAATATGTTAGTCTGAGGATTTCTTAGTTCTAGCTAATGGATAATGGTTAGATCTGAGAAAACCTGTTAAAAGTTATGTATATTTACGTGAGGTTAATGGAAATGAGAAATTTCATAAGTCAGAACCAAAAAAAAAAAAAAGCTAACTAATTTAATCTTCATGTGTTTGTTTGTTGGTAAGCGCAAAGCTGCACAAGAGGCTCGCTTTGCTGTGCCCACCGTGGGTATGGAAAAAACCACTTTTTAGCTTTATAAGCCTTCAGACTTTCCGCCGAGGGGGGAAATGTTTTCACATCTGTTTGGAAAAATTGATTTGCACCATAGTTTTATAAGAGTTACATATTTCAAATAAAAATAATTATGATTACTTCGTGGATTGCGACATTATTACTTAATAATAAACTCGCGAACAAGGGGGTATTTGGAAAAACAAACTAATTTTGTTTAATATTTAACGTATATTTCGTTTTATGTAGAATAATTTTCACAAAGTGGGAATTTACATTTATACTAACATTTGTAAAAAAAAGAAACAAAATTGAATTATTTTGTGTTTGTCATTTCTCCAGGTTTCGTATAAATGAACTAAATAAACAAAACGGGCCATGAGAGCAACTT